CTGCTGCTGCTGCTGCAGAATGAGGCTGGGACGAGGGAAACGAGGAACGCGAAGAGGGGTGGGGAAACTGCCGCAGACCTCGGTCTGCCGTGGTAGGCGAGGTGAGGTGGCAATCAATAAATATACAGAACCGGCGAAGAGCGAGGGAGACAGAGGGTGGTCGAGCGAGCGAGCGAGCAAGCGGGCGAGCGGACGAACGAGCGAACGAACGAACGAACGAGCGACGACGACCGCGCAAGAGAGCGAGAGAGAGGCGTCTCGCTGGTTGCGTCCGTCCGTCCGTACGCTCGCTCGCTCGCTCGCTCGCTCGTTCGTTCGTTCGTTCGTTCATTCGTTCTTGCGTCCCCAAAGCCCTACGGACCTAAACCCGGAGAGCGAGGACGGAGAAAAAGCAGCGCGACGGCAGCGGCGGAGGAGCGAGCGAGACGGCGCGGGCGAAAGAAGTCGCCGGCGAAGACTGAGACGGATGACAGCGATGGACAGGAAACTCGGCTCGCGGGGAAGAGAGAGAGAGAGAGAGAAGAGTGGAAGATAAGAAAACGCGACGGTGGGCAGCTCGGGAGAGAGGTTCCGCCCGGAGGCCGAGGGGGGAGGAGAGCGCGACTCGACGGCGGTCCAGGAAACATGAAGAGGGACGGCGGGTCGAAGGTGAAGCGACGAAATAAACGACGGAGTCCCCGTCTTCGTCGAGGGCGATGGAGATCCTTGCTCTGCGAGGGGACGACAGGCGGTGCCCGGCTTTCGGAGTGTAATCGAGACGAGCCGAGAAATAAGGAGCGCAGAATGCACCTCCGGTCGCATTAGCGGACGCTGCTCCGTCTTCGCGTGGAAGGCATGCAATTTAGCTAACAAATAGATATCGCGTGTCCCTTTGTAAGCTATAATATACAGATTGCCTTTATCTATTATGTATATCGGAAAGAGCTCTCCTAATTTCATTCTTAAGCTGCGATGTCCGTTTCTTCCTTTCGTTGTAACTTTTATGTCGAGTTGAAGATTTATAATATTGTCGCGATCGAATGACTGCGTAACTTGAAATTAAAATAAATACGCGCTGAAATATAATATTCAGCGATAAAAATGTTGGAAACAAATACAAACAAGCTGTATTTGTGATACCGTAAATCGATATTAACGTTGAATTAATTATCCTTCATAAAGAACTGATTGATCTCAATTGGCGAATTTGATTCAATTCCTTGTTCCTAAACAACTTTTACCGAACTTCGGCAGAACGAGTGTCAAAAAGTTTAGAACGCGAATAACATATAGCACTAGCGCTGGGAACGGGAGTTCGCGTTCTCTCCTTTGTCGCGAGGAAGCGGCCGAGAGTCGACGGAAGGAGCCTTGATAACCTTGGAAGGAGAGAAAGGCTGGGTATGATGTGCGTGCGCGGGACTAATTGATTTCGGGAGGGAGAGAGAGAGAGAGAGAGAGAACCCTGCGCTCGTTAAGGCGGCGCTGATATATCGCGTTGACGCGCGAGAGCGTATTGAGCTCACTTTGTATCACGCGTCCGCTTTCCAACGACCATGTAAATCCACGGCAAGTGTAGCAGCGAGCTCATGTAACAGCGCGGTATGTAAGAGAGGGCGACCTCAGAAACCATGAAATATATATATATATATATATATATATCATTCATATTCAAGTTTTATTAATTATAAAGAATTACTAATTATTAATACGTTTTATTATGTAATAGCCGTGACAAATATATTCAAACTAGATAGTTAAATAAATTAGTAAAGAGAATTTTATGCCACATAAAATTGAAATATAAACTTCTATATTCCTCTCGGAAAAACATTAAAATAGTAATAGATGATATCCCGCAAAAGAGCTTGCAATTTACATAATGAGAAGTCTTTTTCAGAATAGATAAAAATTCGAGATAAAAGATTTCTCCACTTCTCGAATGCGATTCTTTTTGCTTTAATTCTTTTATTACGTTTGCGTAAATGATAGATCCTAATACGATTTGAGAAAGGGGAGGGACGAGCACGTATTCTACTCGCGAACTTGCGAACTTTTCTTCACTCTCTCGAAGTTCCCGAATCCAGCAATCTGTCAACTTATGTACTCACGGATCATGCGAAGCCGACTCGTCATCCATCACGGAAACGTGCCTCGATGACCGAAATCGGAGTAGCCAGGAGCAAACTTCCTCCTGGACAAGCACCACAACTCACACACAGACAAATATTGTGCCGTCGAAACTCGCGCATACCTCTTCGAAATACGAAGCACGCGCATCCGAAACGTTCGTCGCACGGAAATGTTTGCCCGGTTCGTCTAAACAATATCATACATGATCGTGGGGATCAAATAAAGCCGATAGTACTTCCGACTACTCGCAGTTATGCCGGATTGTGACGAATTAAAAAAAATAAAATGAGAGAGAGAGAAGAGAGAGAGGAGAGAGAGAGAGAGAGAGAGAGAGAGAGAAGAAAGAGAGAAAGAGACAGCATCGCGCCGGAAATAAAACGGAAATGTTACGGGATACGAACGAGATCATTAGTTAATAAACACAAACGCCATTGTTGAGCCACGAGTACAAATATCATTTGTATCGTCTATCCGCGCGCGAATTTATTTCCTTCGTACCTGTTGTCTGTAACATTATACATTTTCGCCGATTCCTCCGTCTGTAATTAACTGTCAGACCAAGTTATTCAGAAGATAACTGGGTGCCGCGATGTAGACGCGTCGGTTACTATACAGACAGAGTTAACTAATACCGAAGAAGCCGATCATTAGAGCGCACCGAGCGCTCCTCCTATTATCGGACTTCTTTCTCCGACCCACCTTCGCATAACGACGTCGCTTATCGCGACGCGGCGTCCGCGCGTTACGCTCGGCGAACGGAACGAGTCGAAAAGGGAAAAACACGAAAATAAAGAGGGAGAGAGAGAGAGAGAGAGAGAGAGGGGGGAAGAGAGAAAAAGAAAGATAAAACGAGGCTGAAATGACTTACCACCGAAGAGTGTAGTAGGATCGAGCAACGGATTGGCCTGGTCCGCCTGGAGTTTCTCGGAGGTGGAAGTGGCGCCCGGAGTCGCTGCCGCTGCTGCTTCAGCACCGCCACCACCGCCGCCTCCGCCCGATGCGGAGTTCTCCTTCTCCATGCCAGTCCCCTGAAAACATCCACCATGGTTTCGTTAGAGTGGTTTAGCTCTCACGCGCAACGCACGAGGAGTCCGCGCTGCCGCATCGCCAAGGCCTTTTCTTTCCGCCCGTTCTTTATCTCGGAGGGAAAGAAAAAAAAACAAAAAAAACACTCCGACGAGGAGAGACGGAACAGGTTTCGCGTGGAATCACCGCGCACGATATTTACGATGGAGTTACACACACCGCGGTGCCTCGAAATTTCGGCGCCGTGCGTGACTTTTTCCGCGAAACGTGTAGTCCGGATGATGCGGGAGATTATCTCTCGAGAAGAGGAATGATGGATGCCTCCATCGATCAATATACGAGAAATAATGAAATAAATTACCGAACAGATATATCTCGGGATGTGAGGAATTTCGGTAGAGATCATTTCTCACTCTGCAATTAATACATCAACTTGTTGGTTGTCCGAGTAAATGTAATGTGTGAAACGGCAGTATTGTAGGAATATGAAATATAAAAAGTATTGTTACATGTGCAGTTGATTAATTAAACATAAATATTATCCAGTTAGAAATGTCATGGAATAAAAGCAAATCTCCGCGGCATTCCTCTCTCCAAACCAATTAAAACTTCACTTTACGGAGAAATCATAACTCGTAATCGTAAAAAAATGATTAAACTTTCCTCAAATGGCCGTGCTAATAAAAACGGTCGAAGCGTGGAAAGATACGTTTTCCTTACTTCTTACGTACAATAGTCTACAATACGGGGCTGCATAGTCGCTCGGAGAGAGACGTCTCTTTCACTTAATTACCGTAATTAACCAGGTCGCTTTGAAAAACATTCGCATTTCTCATGGAATTTCTTGATGAAAAAAGACGCGTTTATACACCCGAGCGTGAGTATATATATATATACACACACACACACATAAACAGAGCGCTACGCGCACGAGCGTAGTCCGTTCGCATTTGCATTCGACGACTGTTTACCAGTCGAAGAAAGGCTTCCTCCACCGGCGCTTTAAATAAAGGTCGTTCTCCCCTCCATCTTTTCCCCTCCAGCGCTTCAATCAGCTGACTGGCGCACTCCTCTCCCTCCGCCGCCCAGCTGTTGTATAAATATCCATCGTAACGTTGAGTTAGGTTAGGCTGATGCTAGACTAGACGCTGCACGGCGGCGGCGGTGCCGCTATTATCATACCAACAGTATAGTTATTATAGTTCTCCGAGTGCACGAGACGGAGTGTAGGTTCATTGTTGTCGCGATTGCGTCAATTAATCCACGAGCGTGGTGATTTTTCACCGAGCGCCCTTTAGCCTTTGTTCGGAGATTTATGCGTTAACTGTGACATTTCGACACGCGTCTCGCACCTGTGCTGAAATCGCATACAACATCAATAGTATTGAATTACGTTGCGTTTTTCGCACAGCGCAATTATAAAAGCACGATGAGTTCACACGAGTATATCGTTCAGCGATATGATTCTCGGCTCGAATGGTATTCATATGCTCCGAAGTAACCTTTATTACCGTTAGCTCGTTAGTTCTTAGAAGTCTTACATATAGCTGTACGCCGGAAGCAAGGAAAAATCTCAATGCATTTTCTCTCGCTATTCACGTAAGCGGAATAGCATTCTCAAATGAAAGAATTCGTGCTCGATGAATCCTGATTGAATAAAAAATGGAATTTTAATACGAAAGAAAGTATATAAATAAATCGCTGCTATGAAGAATTCATTCTGTTTACGTGTTAAAAATGATGGAAAAACTAATTTCTTCGTTAAAACTTGCAAACACAAAATGCAATCGATTATCTTCCAGTGCGAAATCTTCTATATTATTCATTTCAATAATAGAAAAAAATTCTGATAATCGTTCTGTTACACATATTATCGCATCGTAATTAAAATAACTAACGTCCGGGATGCTCTAGTACGCTCAACGGCTTTTATTAGATGTGCTATGAGTGCGTCACGCGATCGTTATCAACAGCGTATTGATTCAAGTTGGCCCCTCGTCGGTTCATACGGTCCCGTTCGAGAGCTTCGCAAACATCCACGATTTTTAGGTTCGCGTGATCGATCTGTCGAATGATGGTGAAAGTAATGCAGTAAATAATCCTACGCCTTTATTCTCTGTTAATTTAATGGATGAAAAAGAGGCAATAGAAGCACTTAATATTGAGCGACATCGCGAGGTGAAAAGAAGAAAACGGAATAATTCAGTTTAAATATTTCAAGATATTTCTAACGTGCATTTTCCGCACGCAAATCTTCACGGCTTCCTTTTACGGAATATAATCTGCTCTCCAAGAAGATTATCGCAAAATGCTTCTTCTATATATACGCATTTAAGATATGTAAATACTTAGTAAATTGAAAGCAGATTAACGTATAATTAAGAATATATAATTCAAAACTGCATTTATGAGAAACATTTCGGTCTAGCATCTTTAAAAGCGGTGAAATGCGATTTTTCAGTTTTCAGTTGAAGAGTTCGGTTTCATAATATCAGGAGATTATATTGAAAAATAAAAATACTTTAAAAAAGAATCGTATGAATCGTTTTTTTTTTCTGTTTCATTCCGAGAAAAATGCATTACATAAATTTTAAACTTCTGATTATTATGTAAGCTGTTGATAAATAATATGAATGAATCATAAATGTACTTTCGTTCGTCTAGAAGTGTATGAATGAAAGTTATTCACGATAATCACTTATAGTAATCAATAGCTCCGGAAATTCAATCCTTGCCGCATTGTGACGTGTAGTCATCGCGATAATATCAGACAACATTTCAATATCCATAGGATGTACGTGATTATTTAGCATCGAAGCAGCTGGTAGAAAGGCATACAATGGCTTTTATTACGCTTTCAGATTCGTGAATGGCGATGTCGCTCGAAACCCTTGGTTTGACAAAAGAAACCGCGTGGAAGCCCCTTTACCGGAGGAAATTATCCTGCAAGTAACTGTAACAGGAGCGTCTTTTCAAACGTCTCCCATTTCAACGTCCGCTTACTGATAACTAAATTAGGATACTTCTAATTAAACGCATGGATACTTAAATTTTTTTCGGTACGAAACATCACAAGTATCGACACTATTTGACTTTTTCTCGCAACATCGTGTACTTCTCTCGAATTCTCAGTTAAGCAGCATTAGATATCAAATTCATAAACAAAAAATCAAGTATCATCTAGCTAATATTAAAGTTAAGTTATCGTAATCTAAAATAATACGCCGGGAATAAAGTATCGATAATAATGCGGTATTACGAGAAGCCGTATTCACGATTCGACATCGTCGTCATCCGCATGGCGCCTGGAATATCCGGGCGAGCCCGCGACGCTACCCGGTTTTCAGCTAGGCGGGCCCACTTCGAGATGCTCGTAAATTGTCGAGGAAGCGAAGGGCGAGGAACGAGGGTGAGAAGGGCGCGCGCGAGGGTTGGCCGCCTTAAGGCAGGGGAACGCGGGGGCGGTGAGCCAAGAGCAAAAGGAAGACACGGTCGACCATCGATTTCTCGACCGGTATTACGGCTCCTCTCCTCCTCCAGCCGGGAAAAACTCGGTGCCAGGTCGGAGCACCGTCGTCGTGGTAGAGAAAAGAGTCAGCGATGAGAAAGAAACGCGCCGTTTGTTCGCGAGACGCGACCCTTGCGCTGAATGCCCGTTCGACTTCAATTTATTGCGTTTATTCCTCGCTCCTCGCTTTTTTTTTGCCCCGGATTTCTCGTCCTTATTAATCCGCGAATACCACGCTGCAACACGCGCGCCGGCTTGAGTTTAGATAGCAAATAAATCGGCTATCCTCGAATAAACGTTGACTCAAAGCTCTAATTTCTAAGGAAGCGCGAAAAACAATAGTGTAAAAATATTTGACACTCGTATCTCTGATATTTTCGCATTTCACGCAAATGAAGAAATACGATTTCACTCTCTTCAATCTAAAATTAAACACAATCGCCACGCTGACAGCGTAGTATCTTTTTTCCCAAGAGCGCGGACTGTGCGCTGTAAAAATTTGGTTTACATTCTTATGTAAACTCATTTATGCACGCACGGCAACGCTGTATGGGGCGGGAAGGGGGTGGGACATAATTACGCGCGCTCACGAGCACCGCATCGATGTCACTGTGCCGCATCAGATAGTACTTCCATATACGTTAATTATACCCGATTCCACTCATCCGTGTTTGAAAGAAAAACACACAGGCACACGGACCTTGTAACATGAATGTTTCATCGTGACGCGAGTATATCGTTATGTCGTAACAGTAATTAGCGAATTTAAATAGAACGCCAATTTGCAACAAGTCCGTCGCTATCCCCGTTAATTACCGTAATGAAACCAGGTGTACGTGAATATAATAATATTTGACGAACCAAAATTTCGAAAAATTTGCAAGAGATGAATATGAAACAATAGAGAGAGAGAGAGAGAGAGAGAGAAGGAGAAGGAGAAAGAGACGCATAAAACCGTGCTACGTAAAATTACATGTTAATGTGTACGAGCGTAATAGTATGATCTTGATAGCTTACCGCTCGGAAGAGCAGACAACATTATAATTATAGCATTGGGGGGATCAGCATGAAACATGAATACCGTGAATTTCAGGTGTAATGAAAGCACATTTATCGAGCCAACCGAAGAAATTCAGCAAAAGTTATTTATGTTAATTACAATACTTAATTTCACAAAATTTTGAAAGTATCATTAACGCGTTTTTTTCCTGCCACCTCTACAATAAACTGCAAAACGTACAAATGTATATACATACAAGATATGATATGCTCATTAATCTATTTAATTAGTCAGTATCTATAATTAGCCTGTTAATCTTTTAATGCATAATTCAATTTTCCCCTCCCAATAGCGTTGTCATAATATAATTGTCATAATTTACATTATAATATAATTCAGAATACTAATCAAATCTTCACACTATTCATAATCAGATGGCAGAACTTATTAAATAAAACTTATCGATAATGCATACGTCAAAGAGTACACATGTTAACGTTTGGATATTAAATTGTACGATAAGAAAATTGAAGAAAGCGTGCAAAATCTATTTATTCCCCAAAGATGTAATTAAAAAAATCCGATGCGGTCACACAACATTATGCGAGAAATGCGTTTAGAAAATCTCACTGATTTCCGTGGGTTCGGTCATTTGGATCTGGATCTCGTTTCGTAATTTGCGCACACAGTGTGCATCTTACTGATATCCCGATATTCAGATCCGCTTAATATCGCGATACGTGCGAGTATCTGAGATGCGATGCACTCCGGGCGACATGTGGCGAGTCGAGACGCAGAACGTGAAGCACGCGAGAGCCCCGACAGCATCACGAAGAGCGGCCTCGCGCTCGCTCGCGGCCGAGCTTCGTTTCCCATTCAATGAATCCTTACATGGAACACGTCGCCGAGGACGGCATTACGCGCATTCCCCGTCCCTCCGTGCCGCAGCAGATGGCACTCCTATCTGCGTCAATTACAGGCGGACTCTTCTCTCGCCGGGGCGTTTCGAGGGAAGAGATACGTGGCGCAACGAGGACCTCGGATCTTGATGGTTTCGCAGAGAGCGAACCGACATTACGGGCGGCTGTGTTAGTGTGACGGGAGGGAGGGATCGGGGACAGGGAGCGAATAGAGAGAGAAAGGAGA